ACCAGTTTTAATCTTCATAAACGTATAAACGTATGAAGTCACTCTCAATATTTTTCTCAAAGTAAACATTGAGTAACAAAGGCGCATCTCAGTCTTTTCAAAATATCCAACAACCCAACGATTGTTCGATGCTGTTACCATGTGCGCTTGGCCCTATGTGTAACGTTTCAGGTTACATAGTTCTCAAAAGTAATAAAACTTGGTTTCAACACTTCTATATACAACATGTAACATGAACATTTTAACAGAGGCAAGGAATATTACAATATTCCTTCCTAGTTAACAAATAAAAATTCTGCCAAATTTATAATTTAAAATTTTTAAATTACGTACGTATTTTTCGCTTCTCAAAAATTCATGCTCATCTCTTAAATATTCTAACACATCTCAAATATAAAAATTTTCTTTCATATTACTTACGTTGACCGTTGTCATGGTCAAACTTTTCAACAGAATAAGACGCTTCTTCTGACATTTCTGCAATTTTTCAAAACTTCAAATCTTGATTATTCACTTCAGTTCACTTAAACAATTCACCTCACGTTAGTCACTTATGTTCTCGAGAACTTCAAAGTTTCTTATTAAACGTAATAATTATTTATTGCTTAAAATTTTGAAAGTTTTAATGTATTAATTTTGCGCAGTGGAAGCGTGCTGGGCCCATAACCTGTTAGAATTAGGTAGGGCCTTTTAAATAAACAATACCAATGAATAGTTAAGAGTATTTATTAATATGTGCATCCGCACGTTACTAAAACTCAATCGGAAGTAAGTGGTGGTACAGTCTCAAATCTCATCTCAAGCAGGGATCATGACATCACATGACCTCTCCACTACTCATGGGATAAGACGGTTAGGCGTTACTTCCAACATAAACTCACTTCGCAATTTTTTAAGATTATTGATTTCCATAGCAGAAAGGTAAAAAAATTATTTAATTACAATGTGAAACGCTTTTTTCGAAATTATTTTTTTTCGACACGGTTGACATAATATGTAAAATTCTAAGAAACCAATTTACTTGAAATTTGTTACAAATCTCTATTAAATCCAAGCCCATCGATATTTGATTTAAATAAAAAAAAAATGTTTATTATTATTTGAAAAAAAAACTTTAAGGTTGTACGGACACTAATGCACTTTTGAAGATCAGAAGCTAATTTTTTGATATGTTATGAATTGCTATCTCATACATCTAAATTAATTTTTTTGAATAGATCTGTCGAAGGGTTATCCTTTAATAAATTATTAAAAAATTGAAATTTAACATGTAGCCTATAGAGACTATTGGTGGATTGCACATATATCGATTTATGTGACTGCCTCATAGGAAGATTAAAAAACAAAAAACTTCTATTTCAGTCAATCAACTTTCGTAGAATACGTTAAAAATAAAATGAAAATTTTCTGCCGAAGGCTTTTAAAGATATTTTAATGCAAAAGATGAGAAATTCACGAAAATTTCAGGCCGACATATTTAAAAATAAACAAACCACGTGATTCAGCGCAGTGTGGCAACGTTGCACAGAATAGAACGCGCGAATTTTGAATTTTAGTAATTCCTGTGTATTTTTATGGGTTATGTTTTTCAACTCAACACTACACAGTGAGATAAATATAAACAGCTGTTAAGTGCGGTGTTGTCAGGTCCAAGTTTTGTGAAAAAATACTTGAGTCAAACGTTGACTAATTATTTTATTTAATAATAATGTAAGGTAACGATTAAATTATAGTAATGAATTTTCGTACTTAAATTTTTAAGTTTAATGAAAAAAAAATTTAGATTCTACTATGACTTACGGGGTACTGTCCGTGCAACCTTAAGCTGTGAAAAAAAGTAAAAAATTACTTTTTTCCAAAGTATATTGTCATCCCGCAAAAAAATTTATTTTTTTATTTATGATGGTATAATGACTAAAAAGACTGGAACTGTATCAACCATGACACATGCTTTTTGTTACCCATCCCTTTTACTAGCTTCTAATTTTTCTCATTTTTATTTCCAGAATATTTTTATTTATTTTATGAAACTTGAAAAAACGCCCAAATTTTTTTCTCTGAACTATTAGAATAGCTCCCTGCGCATATTTGATCAAGCGTTACATATTAAATAATTTATAAACCACTAAAGTCCATAAATAATATTCTCTAAAAGCTTGTCCAGTACGAAAATATACTTTAATGTCTTTTTGTATCAGAATATAAATTGCCTAGCGACTAAAGCGACTAAAGGTACTTTAACGTTCATATGTACGTCAATGTTAACTTTTGCCCCTTTGTAGAGTTGTACCTAGGTGATAATTTATAACTTATAACAAGGTACATATCTTAGAATCTTAATCTAAAACCGAATTTCTAGCGAAAAATTTTTACTGATTTATATGTAAAGATTCAAGAAACTCATATATACATATATTATATTCTCACACCCTTTTGCAGAGTTGCAGCAAATAGCTTGCGCAGTAAAAGCGTCGGAAGTACTATTCAATGTCCGGATGTCGGAAAATTTCATGAAATTCTTTGGATAAAAGTTCATTGCTCTTCCCTCTCCGTGAGTCGTGTGGTTTATAGCTGTCACATGTTGACATATACCATTTTACCGATATAAGCTTTCGTACCTAAAGGCATACATTTGTAATGTAAAGGCTTACAGTAAAGTGCTGACTTTATCCTTACGTTTTCGTTTATTATTTTTACTTTGCAACTTGGAAAAATATCAGAAAATTACTAGACGAGAATTAATCTCTACGAATGAGGATACTATAAATTAAATAGAGCAAAGGGTTTACTGGCGTTTAGCTGGCTATTACATTTTAGCTCCTATATATATATATATATATATTTGAAACTTAATATCTCAAATCTTCTTTTAAACATCTAATGTTTTATATTGCTGACTAATCCGATATAATGTTTAGATGTGTAGTTTATGTTGTAATAGTGGTAAATAATTATATTTGTTTCTTTATTCCAGAATGAATAAGCTTTGAAATTGTTTTATGGATGAAAAGTTTGTTGGAAATTACTATTCGCACCAGCAAACTTGAATAGTCCGAAACTCCAGCAATTCCTCCTTTGAGTCTCAAAGTTAGCTATTTGGCATCATCCTTTGAACAATTACTTACTAACAAGCTAAAAAATTCATGACATCTCATTAGTTTCATTCTTACGTCACATTATAGTAATTTATTAAATTATTAATATAGTAATTAATAATAATTAATTTAATCGTGAAAAGTAATTTTTTTATAAGAAGAAACATAATTGTTCTATTGAAAGATCTAATTTAACATGAAAGCTAATTATTTTTGAAAATATTGAGAGTTGTTCTATATTAAGTAAATAATGATAAAATGTCAGAAAATTTGTCTCGAGATAAGTTTATATCACTTTCATATTATAATATTTTCTCTCATAAACTTTAAATCATTAAACATTTGTTTCTAGTTTATCCATTTTTTATATTTGGTAGTAATTTAGCGAATTTAATTTGTTGTGTTGGCCTTAAATTTAGAATCATTTGGCAGGAAGAGACTTAATTATTCCATACACTTCTACTTGAGTTTATATAATCATTTAATTTTCAAAATGAGAAGTCAAATCATTAATTTTGCATGAATGATCAAAAAAATTTTTTTTTACTCAAAGAAACATCATAGTAAAAAAATTAGTAATTTTCGATACATGTGGGTGAAGTGAGAGATTTTGGTATACTTGAATTTGCAATACGAGTTTAAAATTCTGAGGTCATGTAGATGTGAACATAACTTTAAAAGTAAGATATGCAAGTTCGAGCTTACTAAATTTCTCGCTTTACACATTACGTATTGAACTTAATTTTTTTTAATAATTACTGTAACAGTATGACTTGATAGAAGAAGATTTTTAATAATTATGTATGTTTATTGAAGATAACTGTAGGTTAAAATTAGCTTTATAGTTATTTATATGAATTGTTGTACAAAAGTTAAATAGTTGCGCTCGATAGCGGCTGATTTCGGAAACAAAAATTTTCCTTGACCTATAGTATTTTGAAGATCTGTCAAAAAAAAAAGTATCTTGATCCAAGAATTTTGAAACCAAGAGAAGAAATTCTTCGAATAAGTCACCCGGTTTTCTTCAAAATAATTTCTGCGGCTCAAAATTTTTCTTTGAATTAAAAAAAGTTTTTCTTAGTGCTTGGGATTTTCTAATAAATCTTAAATTTCGAAGTAACTCATTAAACCTTAGATTCTTCAATAAAAAATTTTTTAGTGCTTTGTTAATGTTTAAAAAAAAAAAAAAAACTTATTCTAAGCTCATTTGCCGAACTCGCTAAAATAACTCTTTCATTCGTTTAGTTGAGAACGATAAAGAAGATCGATGGCGTCCCTTAAGTATATATTTAAAAAGTTTCCAAGTTCGTAAATATCGACAATAAATTTCATGCACTACTTGTCCAAGTCGACAAATTGAATATATCTGACCGTATTTACTTTATAAATAATATATATCATCTATAAAATTCAGAGAATAATGAAAATTTTATCTCCGGTATATTTAGATGATAAAATGGAATATTTTTTTTGGTGATAGCTAATTTTTTGAATAGTTTGTTGGTTCATAAGTTTGTGTCTATGACATTTTCCATTAAATAATTGATAATTGATCCTGTCATAGCAATATTGATTTTTAAATTAATTTTAAAAGCATCCAAACTATTTATATCGTGATTAAAACAATCGGAAATTTGTCAAAGCAAAGTTTTTTTTTAAATCCACAATTTTTGACAGTCACATAGTAACTGCAGGTTGCCAGTATCATATTATATTTTCAACGTAATTTTTCCGAAATGAAGTCATGAAGATTAAGATAAAAATAAACAGACGCAAAGGGTAACACAACATCTGTTTATTTTGCAAATAAGCTAGAACCTTTATCCAAGGTTTTATCAACACACGTGCTTTTGAATACTCATAAGCATAAACATACAATATATTTAATATTATGCTCATAAAAGGATAATATTACGCTCATTCTGTTTGCAGTTACTTCGCAATAAAGCTGATGTTAACGTAACAAACGAACACGGCAACACAGCGTTGCACTACGCCTGTTTCTGGGGTGATCATGCAGTAGCAGAAGAACTAGTGTCCGCAGGAGCTTTGGTTTCTATTGCCAACAAAGATGGAGATACTCCACTAGATAAAGCTCGTGGTTCATTGGCAAAACGCTTACATGGTAATATATGAAATATAGATATATCTATAAAATATTGGCAAGCTGCCGAAAAAGTTGTTTTCACTGTTTTTTATTTTTCACTTCCAGATCTTGCCGTGGAGTTTGGACAGGACTTGAAGAAGATTCAATTTAAAGATCAGAGTTGGCTTGGATTAAAGACCCGCAGTCGTGAGTACTTTTTTGTTGTAATTATTTTTATTTTTTCTTTATATTTTTTGAGATGTAAACTATATGATATAAGAAAATATTATAATGCTACAGTAGAGTAAAAGCAACTCAAGTAGAATAAACTTCAGAAGAAAATCGAGGGAATATGTATATAAATATATAATATATTTATATATGTATATTTTTTTTTATATTGCAGGTGATGCCACACTTTCGAGGCACAAAGGCATTAACATGGCTGAGTTGTCACTTCACACACACTTGGCAAGCACTCCAAGCGGTGAAACTTGGCGTGGACGATGGCAAAATAATGATATCGTCGCTAAAATTTTGAATTTGCGCGAATGCACAGCTCGGATTTCACGTGATTTTAACGAAGAGTTCCCCAAGCTAAGAATATTTTCACATCCAAATGTCTTGCCAGTTCTTGGATGTGTAAATCAGCCTCCGCAGCTAGTGACAGTCTCCCAGTATATGGCTAGAGGAAGTTTGCACCGATTACTTCACGGTGGAACGGGAGTTGTATTAGACAGTGCACGAGCTTTACGTTTGGCGCTAGATGTTGCACGTGCAATGGCATTTTTGCACGGTCTTGAAAGACAAAATCGATGCCGGTTCCATTTAAATAGCAAACATGTTATGGTAAAATATTTCATAAATATTTATTACCCAATTTTTTTTTTTTTTTTTTTTTTTCATGAATTCTGTTCCTATTGTTGTCATGTTTACTAGATCTCGTATGAATATACTTTTTTAGATCGACGAGGATTTGACAGCACGTGTCAATATGGCTGACTCGAAATTTTCATTCCAAGAAGTCGGACGTATTTATGAACCAGCTTGGATGTCGCCAGAGGCTTTAAGCAAACGACCTGCTGACATTAATTTGGAAGCTAGCGATATGTGGAGCTTTGCAATATTACTCTGGGAACTTGCCTCGCGTGAAGTTCCGTTTTCTGATTTATCGCCGATGGAGTGTGGTATGAAGGTTTGTACTCTGTGAGATATTCATGTTTTTGAATTCATTTTCATAAAGTGCATGTACTTATACGATATTAAAGAAGAAAAATTTAATATCCGCGATTTATAAAACCGCATACGCTTTGAGCGGTAGTAATATATTTCATATCAAACGATAGTATTTCATTCCATACATTTAATGATATTTATTGATTCAGAGTTGCTATTTTATTGATGAAAAAATTTTGATGATTTTTATTAATCATTGCTGGATTTAAAATAAAATATTTAATTTTCATTTCCAACTGTAAGATTGAAAATGAAAAAAAAGTTATGTTCAAATTGTATCTTTAAATCAATAATCAATATTTCGTTTTTTAATTTATTGGTCACTACATTCATTTATTCATTATATCTCAATAGAAAAATTTCCTGAATATTTTCTGTAGCAATAAAAAATTGAAAAAAAAAATAAAATGAATAAAAATAATAATTTTGCTTTCCGCTTAAATTAATCTCAAATACCACATTTAGTATGCTTGAAATGGACTTGAGCGTCGTGGAGTTGTGAATACTTGAAAATGTAAAAAAAAAATCTAGTGATAAAATTTTTAATTTTTTATTCATTTTTTCGAGTAATTTAAAAATAAAAACAATAATATTATTTAAATTTAAATATTTAGGAACTAATATATTTGATTATATTTCAATTGTAAATACTCATAGAATTAAAAACTAAAAAAAATTTTTTTTAATTAAGAAGTTTCAATCAAAAGGTAATAAAATAATTATTTCAATACATTATTTGCAACTCTATTTTATACATTTCAAAGTACTTTCATATGAGTTTATAAAGATTTTCAACTTGACTTTTATTCATCATACAGATATTTTAATTAATTCATCATGAAAGAGGTTTTGACATTCACATCACAAATCATTTAGTTTAAATCATTTTTTTATTCTTATTCCATTAATTAAGAGACTTATTCATCTTACTATTGATTAAAATACTTATTTTTATTTCAATTCACGTAATGAGGCTGTTTTTCAAAGTAAATATTAACTATAAGCACAAAGCAAAAAAAAATTTTTGTAACATATATCATAAATTATAACATAACATTACGATAGAATTTAATCTAAGAGTTATACAAAAATAATTAAATGTCATTGTAAAAAATGTAATAACTTAATTAACTCTATAAAAACTTAATTTGAACTGCAGATTGCACTGGAAGATTTACGAGTTGAAATTCCCCATGGGATCTCTCCACATTTGGCTAAACTGATCCGGATTTGTATGAATGAGGATTCTGGCAAGCGTCCATCTTTCGATATGGTGGTCCCGATACTCGACAAAATGAAACGTTGAAGGACAACTGAAAACAACTAAATAATGATAGTAACATAACTATCAAGATGAAGATATACCAACAATATAATAACACTACATCAAAGAAAATTGTTCTACAGTTTAAACAAGCCAATGGTACACATAAAAATCATAAAACTTTAACAAATGCCATAATAAATGTAATGCCGTAGACTGACGATTATAAATCATGTGTGGATTGCTTTTATTAGGAGGTAAATAATTCACAAAGCTTTTATTTAGAATCTCATTCTTTACTCCGATCCGGTGCTGCCAAGTTACAATTTTTAGACTTTCAATAGTCTACGAAAGTAAGAGTATTAATTACTCATATATTTTTTATATACCATACAATCTTTTAAATATTTAAATGTGCCTTTAATATCAAATAATTATACTTAAACTACTTTAATTGTTGAATATTTTATTAATTAATAATCTCTATTGACTCTAGAATAATTTTTCAATAAACTTGACAAATCTATTAATTTTTTAAAATTAATCGCTACAACGATTAATCAATCTTTTAATTTTTTTGGTACTATTATTAATGTCTTCGACCATATGTCGGTTTTTACATAGACAAGCACGGTTACGGAAACACTGTAACTTTATTATTTCCTCTGTGACTATTCAAACAACTCTACCTTATTAATATGAAGGTCGGAAGTAAATCAAATAGAGGAGACAAAGTGTCGTCTAATTGCATTATTTATTAATTGTAATTAATTCAATAGCTAGTTGAAATTACAGTAGCAAGTTATCCGATTAAATTTACAATGCTATTAAATTATATATTTATACCTATTATATGAATATTTTATTATGTACAATATTGTATTGTTATATTAACAACTTTATAGGCTAAAATGTTTGGCTGACACGAGTAATTTTTTATAAATTAATTTTATTAAAATATTTATGACTAAATAATAAAAAAAAAAAAAATAAATGAACTATAATTATTAATAAATTTATGTTCAAAAAATTTTATACATCTACCATCTAAACATCAACGTTTGTAATTAAAGTCCGGAATATGTTAAACTCTTTGACTATAATCACTCTATTTCATTGCTAATGACAGATTAATTTAATATTTTAATGCTTGCTTTTGAGTTTATGAAGAATAATTTTATGTGATTATTTATCAAAATAGTAACATTTGACAGTTTATAATTACAGTAGCTAAATTAAAATGACACTTGTCATACGAGATTATATTTTAGGCTGTAAAATCCAAAGTATATTAAATATTCTTTGACTCGCATAGATTCTAGGAGCAATTTCAGTTGATTGAGCACGATCATTCATTACATAGTATTATCGAGCTCGAACTTTCTCACTGACAAAGACAAAAGAAACTAAAGTTTAGTAAGTTAAGGGTTTCATGAGATTGTTTGTTGCTTATTTATATGGCCTCATCCGAGCCCGAGTCCTATTATGTTTCAAGTTCCGCAGCAGTTATTATGTATCGACATTAAATCAACTGTTGTATGCAATAAATTTACAAACTTGCATAAATTTTGATTTGCAGTACTATATTAGTAAGCTCAAACATTTAAATGAATATTAAACTTGAATTTGTATGACACTATTGAATTGGAGTAATTTCTGTGCTATTGAAAGTTATTGCTGGTATAATTGGAATATAGTGCAAATACAAAACTAATTAAGGGCAAGAGTTTTCGAAATGCTTGTACTGCAAACTTTAGTTTACTGAAATTGCCATCTGGGTAGTAAATTGATATCGATTGATTTTTTAAATTAAAGTTTATTTAAAATTTATTTTGTTTTTTAAATTTCTATCCATTGTTTCTTTTTGAAGAATAATGTAACGAAGAAATAAAATATATTTTCTCATGGTGAAATTAAGAAGACTGTGTACGGTATCAAATTATCTTTTAAAGGATGATATTACTCAACAGCTTGTCTGTATTGAAGATATCAAGTGATAAAAATAAAAAAAAAAAAAAAAATGGCCCTGTAATTTTCGGCGAAAAATAAAAGTTCAGAGGCTTTGAATATGAATATTTGCATGGATCTATAAATTTATGTCCCTTCGAAAATGACATCGAAATTTATTATACCCTCGATTGATTTTAATTAAATTTTTATGAAAAAAATAGCAAAAAGTGTTGGACACTTTTGCCCAAACTTCTAGATGTAAATAATTTATTTATATTTTAAGATAAAAATAGACAATAATTTCACGTAATGAAATTTTTTCCCCCATTTAATAAAAGGTTGACGAAATGATACATTTTTTTTTCTTTTCCAAATACTAACAAAGAACGTAGCAATGCACTGGATTTTTATCACCTTATTAAATTATTTTTTGTTCTTTTTCAGCAGTCAGCTCCGGTCTCAAATTAACTTTGCCGCTTCTGTTATTTTCGTCCGTACCCAATTATTATTTTTTTTTATTACCTAATAATAATATATAATAAAATGCTCAAATTACTTACTTGAACCCACACAATAAAATACTTTTATCATTAACAATATTCAAGACAAAATAGAAGATATCATCGCAGATATCAAGAAGAACCCCGCTTTAATTTAAATACAAAAGAATGAGAATATTAAACAATATTTTAAATTCAACTATATTAAAATCGATCGACCGAACTGAAGTCTTTTTTTATCGAGATTCAAATCAGCAAAATTATTTCACGGTCAGTGGGTTTCGTGAGCGCATGCATGTGTTTAAATTATGAGGGCTTTTAGTTGTTTTATACTTACTTCTCCGAAATCTCAAATGATTTATTACACAGCTCAGTGGTTTAAAATCTGCTCGACCCAGCGAGATCTAGCGTGTTCCCTCAATAAATACGGCTACCCATTTGTTAATATTGTGCTGTTTTATCCGATATCAGAAATTTAAACTCCATTTATTTTTTACAAGCCGCTCCACTCAAATCATAGTAAATTGAAATTTATTAAACCTGGCTATGATACATTGCATACATGTTGATATACTATACATAGTATATTGATGTTTATGGATGTTATGTCTACGTAAATGTAAGAACAATCTTAATATTTTTACAGAAAATATTGAGTATAAACATTAAAGGAAATTTTTTAATTGTAAATATTTACAATGTAAACGCTCAATAACGATTTGTGATTTTTTGGTATCCGTAAATTTTATTGGTACGTTAAGCATAAAAAAAATTTATAAACCGTTGACCCTACAGACCATCCGTACAACTTCCCGCTAAGCTCAAATGCATAGAGCTACAAATTTCACCTATAACGCCATTTTTTAGCTCTTCGAGTTCAAAAGTCTGATTTGTATTTAGGAAAACACTTCTTTGAAGATATTTGAACTGTAATAACTTTCAGACAAATCAATCGATTTTTATATGCTTAGCGCATTTAGTGCAATTAAAAAAGCTTTACTAAAATTGTCAGAGAAATCCGATCTGATGGAAAATAAGAAAATTATATTAAAAAACTACGTTTTTTGATTTTTTTAAAGTTAAATATCTTTCGAGTGAATTGACTCATTTTGACGAACGTAGCGGCGTAATTTTTTTTAAACTAATAGTTCATTTATTACATCAAAAACGATCCGATCGAAAATTTTGAAGTGATTTGAAAAAAACACTTTTTTCTAAATTTTTCGACAGCGATATTTCGATATGGTTTGCGGCAACTGACGCTGTTTTTTTAAGTTCTCACAATTTTGTCTCAGATCAAAAATCAATTGGTGGAGAAATATCATAGTTATATTGAAAAAACATTTTTTTTCAAAATTTTTTGTCAACGATATCTCACGAACGAACGAGTCGATTTTCTAAATGGTATTCAAAATCATTTTTTAGAATAAGAGATGATTAGGTTATGAAAATGATCGATAAAGCAGTTCAAAAGTTATTTTGATAAAACATTATATCAAAAACTTTTTTTTTCAGTTTTTTTGAAATTTCTAAAAATCTATCGCACTAAATTTATTCAAGCATATACTGCCATCATCGCAGGAGAAGTCAGAAAAGCTTCTTAGGACCTCAAAACGTGGACATCTGATGAGAACTTGATTTTTGACAACCGGGGTGATACCAACAACTCCCCAATTTTTGAAAATCATTGATTTTCTTCCAATAACGGAATGTTAAAAAAAGCTTATTCATTTCAATACGTTTATTAAAAAACCCCTTCGAATTTTGTGACATACCAACAAATCTTAAAAAGCTTGAACAATAAAAATTTTAATCAACAATATATAGATAAACTAAGAGAAAAAATACCAACTTCCGAGGTAGTTATACAATATAAAGACAAATAAAAGTTAAGAGTACGCTTAGGTAAGCCCAAATTAACTTACGAAATTTCTAGTACTCTCAACATACCATAAACTCAAGTAACTTCCAATTTCCAGAAACATTCAAGTGACCATTGATTAAAGTACCTCAGTATAATGTAAATGGAATTTTAAAGTAAACGTAAATAAAAAAAGATGAATAAGTAAAAATAATAAAAAGCGCAAAGTGCTTTATCTGTTTTAAGTTATAAACGTCACTTAATTAATCTCAAATTTTTTTTAACTTCCTGCTAAGAAAATTAATGATTTTAAAAATTTGGGAAGTTATTGGTTTTACCCCGATTCTCAAAAATTGAGTTCTCATTAGATCTTCATGTTTTGAGGTCCTCGGGAGCTATTCTGACTATTCCCATGATGACGGTAGTGTGTGTGTGTGCGTGCGTGCGCGCGCATGTGTGTGTGTGTGTGTGTGTCAACCTCTTATAACTTTTGAAGGGCTTGACTGATGGAAACCAAACTATGGCATTCACAAGGAGTTTCATCAAACTTAGATTTCCTGAATATTTGAACCGATTCGCACTGGTAGATTCCAAAAAATCTCAAAAAAACTACGAAAAAAAATTTTTTCAAATGTGGTTTTTTTGGAATAACTTTTAAACAACTTTACGTGAGATACCTTGTCGAAAAATTTGGAAGAAGTCGTTTTTCTCATATAACTTCAAAATTTCTT